TGTGTGTAAATGGGGAGGGGGTGGGTGAGAGGGTTAATCCCCCTCCGAAAGGGGAGGGGGTGGGTGAGAGGGTTAATCCCCCTCCGATAGGGGAACAGACATCCTGGAGATTGAAAGCTGCACTCCATGTGGGAATGGGCCTTGTGGTTTTGGTGGGGAATGATGTTGGGGAGGGGCCCTTGGGAAATTGGCCATTTATTCTGGAATGTTCTGTGACACGGCCTTGTATTCCCCCCCCACCCACTCACAGCTATCCCACCAACCACTTTGGCTCTCTGATTGGTCTCCAGTCCCTGGTCAGTGCTGTCTTCGCCCTGTTCCAGCAGCTTCTCTTCATGGCCATGCTGGGACCCCTGCATGGAGACCCCTTCTGGGTAAGTCCACAGCCTGGAACCTGCTTCCCTAGGGGCGGGGAAGGACTCTCACACTCTCAGCCTGGCCACTACCTCCATCCCTGGCCTCTGAGCCCCCTGCTTCCAATCTCCCCCGCTGGCTCACCCCATCATATCGCTCCTTATCACCCAGTGGGAAATGCACTGTAACCTCCTCCAGCCCCTACACCCCCTCCCTATCTCTGTAACCTCCTCCGGCCCCTGCACCCCCTCCCTATCTCTGTTTCCCTCCTCGATCTCTCTGCTTCTCCTGTTTTCTTCAGTCCCCCATTGGTTGGGGGGGGTTAACATGTGTGTTCAGCTGCCTCAGGCCCAAAGCTCCTGAAATACATGCCCCCTCCCACTCCTCACCCCCAACCACCCAATCCTTTGCACCTCTTTCCTGAGGGCACCCCAAATCGTGAATGACATTCAGATGGTGGGCCTGAGCCTTCTGAGGGTTGTCGAGATGGTGCGGGGCAGTAGTACCCCTCCTGTGAATTGGGAGGGGCGAGAGGTGAGGTCGTGGGGGGGACGGGTGGGTTAACGTTGGGCCCCCACTGCGGACATGGCAGTTTTCCCCGATCAGATTGACTGCCTTCTCTTCTCTTCTCTCTCCTCAGGTGAACTTCGGCCTGCTCCTCCTGTCTGCCACCGGTTTTCTACTGCCTGGTTACCTGTGGTACCACCGTCGCAACGTCTTGAAGGCCAAGGCGACGGGAGGTGGGGCCCATCGAGGGGCCGGGGGCCAGGAGCCCCCGGACGGTGGGAACCTGTCTCCAGGCAGGCCCCTTCCTCCCGGGAAGCCGGTTGACAACGGCCTGCCTCCTCATGACGAAAGTCAGGCCTAGTGGGGCCTAGTCCGGCCTAGTCAGCCAAGCCTGACCCCCTCCATGTCCTCTCGCCCCCCCCCCCCCCCACCCCACAACCTCGTTCCTGACTGAAAAACCCAAATTGGGTCTGATTTCACCCCCCACCTCCCTCCCTCCCATTCCCCACCCCATCAAACATGTCCGTGTCCAAGGAACACACGTGTGCAGGTGGTAAAGGGGAAGGCCCTTGGTGAGGGTGTGGGGTTTTTTTTTGGTGTCCGTTGTAAATAGGATCTTTTGTTTCTCCTCTCCTGCCCCAAAAGGGGCTTTTTAAACGATAGTTTTATTTTTGACCATGAAACGTAAACATTGATATTTTTATTAATATCACTCTATCTATAAATATATATATATGTGTGCGCGCGTGCGTGTGCGCGTGTGTGTCCGCGCGTGTGTGTGTGTGTGTGTAGGTATATATATATATATATATATTTTGCCGATGGAAACGTTGCTAGGGATTAGTTCAAAAAAAATTTAGTTTTTCCTTCTTGGCCCCCCCCCCCCTCCCCTCGTGTTCCTCATCTGCCTCATCTTTCTACTTGGTGGGAGGAGTTGGCTGACTGGAATCTTGCTGTGCAGGGAAACTAGTCACCCAAAGGCTCGCTCCCCGTCATCAGGATGGATTGCAAGAATGCCAAGACTCGGAAGCCAACGCGACCGTCTGGGCCCCAGCAGGGATGGGTTGGCAAGTGAACTCCAATTGGGCAGGGCGTCGCCACGGGGATACTGAGGCTCCTCCAATTGGACGAGGTGTCACCAGGGACGCTTGTGTGGCGACCTTCAGCCAATTGTAACCCTCCCCGTTCGAGCGGCGCGGTCGATTCTGCCACGTCGCGGTCGCTGCCCCCTGGGCGTGCCTTCACCTCACCGCACATCACCAAATCCGGAATTTTCCGCTCCCTCATGGGCTCTACCACAAGCCGCTCGAAGGAAAACCCATTCCGCAAATTCCTTTTCTTGGGATCCGTCAGCAAACTGATTTTCCCAGTCCACCAGGACGTTGAAGATCCCCCAGGGTTATAAACTTTCTTACATACCTTTTCTGTCCCCTGACTTATTTTCTTCCCCACATCCTGACAACTGCGAAGAGACCCGTACGCAATTCCCAAATAGCGGCTTTTTATAGGCTTTGCATTTCCTCAACGCTGCCTGCACAGACCGCACGCCCTCTGGCTCTATGGATATCACTTGCTCACTATCAATTTTAATTTCGTTTCCCCATTAACAAGGCGAACCCCCGCCCACCCAACCCTGTCGATAGGATGTCGTTGGTATCCCTGCAGTGTGGGAGCAGGCCATTCGGCCCATCGAGTCCACACTGTCTGTCCAAAAAGCTTCCCAACATTCCCCGCCCCACCATTTCCCATGGCTAACCCACCTAGTCTGCACATCCCTGGGCACTATGGGTAATTTAGCACGGCCAATCCACCCTAACCTGCACATCCCTGGACACTATGGGTCAATTTAGCACGGCCAATCCACCCTAACCTGCACATCCCTGGGCACT